CAGTGGCTGCTCTACTGGACCTCGAGCTCCTGGAGGACAGGGGCTCCCCTTTAGATCCCAGTGTCCTGCATGGTGCCGGGAGCATGACTGGATCCAGTACATGTTCGTGGGATGGATGGATGGAGGATGGATGGATGGATGGATGGATGGATGGATGGATGGATGGATGGATGAATGAATGGATGGGTGATTGCACGAGAGGGCCTCAGGAAAAACCCAAAGTGTCTCAGTACAGTGGGCCCAGGGTCCACCTTGTATTTGGCTGGTGGTATGTTTCTGCTGTGCTGAGACTGGCATCATGTGGGGAGAGGGAACTGGCCCAGAGTTCAAGGCCCTGGCTGTCATGTAGGTTGTACAACCTTGGACAAGCCCCCTCCTCTGTGTTTTTTTTTAAGTCCCCATTGCACCTGCACAGTGGCGACAGTCCTCCCTGCTCTGCCAGCCATGCTGGGTTGTCCCAAGGCTCAGGGAAGACAGTAAAGCAGAAATGACCTGGAAAAGATCAAGTCCCTTTGTAAGTGGAAAATGCAGTGGTGTGGAGATGCAGGACCGTGCACTCGGCTTTCTTTCCCCCCTTTCAGATTTCTTTTAATACAGTTATGATGTTATCTACAACCAAAAGTAGAACTGTGCAAGCATCTCAAGCAGTTACAAATGGAAGCTTTTATCATGTTGACCCAAAAAATGGTTCTTTGGTACCTGAACGCAGAGACCAGTGGGTAGGGAGGAAGGCGAGGTGAGGTGGGGGTGAGCAGAGGCAGTCTCATGGGGAAAGTACCCATGAGCTGGCCAAAGAGGTGGGGCCAAGAGGGGTCCCCAGTTACTGAACCCTTGGGGACCCCCACAGATTCATTTCGTCCTTCGTCAACTGGACTGACCACATAGAAAGTCCACATGTCACCGCTAACTTCGTCGGCACTGTGTGGTTCTGCTTACTCTGTCCAATTGTGTGCCCACTGGGGGCTCAGTTGGCTCTGACGGGAGGTGTTTGCCAGAAGGGCGCATTTACATATTTATTCCTGGGCCCGGTGAATACAGGTGGCTACTAAGTCATCATGATGCACCCACACATGGAACAAGCTCACAGCTCCAGCACTGCCCACCACGCTGATCTTGGAATACAAACATGCACCCCGACGCCCGAGAGGCACCCACTCACTCGAGGCAGAAACACTTGAGGAGCCCAGTATACTCAGTGGGGTCTGGGGCATATGGTGCACCCAGGGTTCCCAGGAAGCTTTGCAGGACCATAGGGAAGGCAGGGGGTAGGGGAAGGGGGAAATGGGGACAGCAGGGAGGGCAGACGCAGGATAAATAAAGCTGGACGGGCCAGAACCTTGCTTGGACCCTTGGTTTTCTAAATGAGGAAGCAGAGTCGGGAGTTCACGGGATGCATTAATTAGGCACCTTCTACGTGCGAGGCAGTGGGCCAGGCCATGTCTGAGTGATCAGTCTCAGAGAAGCAGATGCAGTTCCTTCCAAGATACTGTGTCATTGCTGTCATGGCTTGTGCGACTATGCACCCCAGTGTAGGAGCTGAGGGGTGATATAAGATGGACTCTTGCAGGATGGGGAGCGGCATGGGGTTTGGGGGAAGTGGTGGGAGACAGGCAGGTGGAGCAGGCAGGGCCAGGCTGCCATAGGAGCACTGCCCGATCCTGAGGGCTGTGGGAAGGGTCTGATGCTGGCGGATGGAGCTGCCTTCCTGCATTCATAGTTTCAAAAGGAGAACTCGGGTAGTGTCTCTCCGTCATGGGGGAGCAGCAGCCATGCCTGGCTGGAGCCTCTGGGCTCCAGGACACTGCCGCCCACCCCCACCCCCGGCAGTGTAAAACAGTTTCCTCGCCCTGGCCAGGGAAGCAGATGACCTCATTGGACTCTTTCCATCTCTTGCTTTCATAGAGAAATTACAATTTATAATTGGATGAAATCACACGGGTGTAATAGCTATAAGAGCCCGAGCTGGAGCCCGGCATCACCCCTCATGGGGCAACTCTGTCCTCAGCTTCCCTCCTGTCCGGCCCCCACCCTGCCCTTTC